AACAGAAACCTTGATACTAAAGTTAAGATTTAAAACACTAACTGTTCACCCAATACCAAATGTAGTACTATTTGTTCGTACACTTGTTAAACACATTCTTTAAAACCACCTCTAAATCTCAACATCAGACACCAAATATAAAATTGCAGAATTTTACATCTATTCATTTACCCAGTACCAAATATAGTACCATTCAGTACTTTGCTTAGTACACATTTCGGAAACCACCTCCACGTGTCCAGGCTGGGTATGATGAGCGACCCTAATGTCATATTTAAGATTTCAAGCACTTTCCGTTTACCAAATCCAAATTGTAGTAAATATAGTACTATTTAGTACTTTTCGTACAGTTATAATTACCACAGCCAATCTCAACTGCAAATACCCACACACACTTCCTAACCACCGCCAAATCTCAAACAATGATACCATCAACAATTTAAGTATTAAATTTCAAAATATTACCAGTATTCCTTCTCCTAATGTCAAGTATAGATTTCCAAACCAAACCGCCAAATCTCAAACACAGATGCCATCAATGATCTAAATATCAAATTTTAAAATGTTATTTCTATCCCTTTACCTAATATCAAATATAGTTTCATTATCAACACTATCTCTTAGTTCAATACCAAATATAGTACTATTTAGTACTTTTCGTGCACTTGTGGTACACATTTCCAAAACCACCTCTTTATTACACACCAACCACCAAAAGGGACCCAAATACAAAATTGCAAATGCAAATTCGAGCTTCACACTTAACCAAACTGTTCCAAATTGAGAACCATTCAGTAAAGTATTTACACTTAGTACGCATTACAAAAACCACCTTCATACATCAAAGTTACTTTTCAACCTTGAGCTAAACTTCTTGAGGTAAAAACTTGGAGTTTGGTATGAAAACTTCAAGTTTTTAGCTCTATCCGTTCATCCAATACCCAATTTAGTACCATATTAGAAGTTTAGTACCATTTTAGAACTTTTTAAGACTCTAAGTTCTACTTTTCGAAATCCCTTTGGTACGTTTATTCTGCATTACATCAGTGACTCTCATTCCAAATTTGTGGATTCTTCGTAATTCCGTTTCTTCTACGCACCAAGACCAACATGGAGAAGAAGGCGAGATAGACCCTTAGTAACTTTTGAGGATCTTTATAGAATCACTTTCTAATTCGATTTATAAATGTCAGTCCGTCCTTCCGTCTGTCCATTTATATTTGTGAACAAAATGCAGGTCGCATTTATTAACCGATCGAGATGAAAATTTCAAAACAATATTTGTTTAGCCCGAGGACGAGCCCTATATAACTCCCATATATATCTTTATCCGATTTCGGGTTAATAGGGCACCAAATAGGCAATATCAGTCCAAATGGCCTGAATTTCGACACATCCGACCAAACTTAGTCTAGAAGCAAGTACATCAAATTTAGTAAAAATCCGTTCAGACATAGCCATAGTTCCCATAGATATGTTTCATCCGATTTTGGGGGTTTAAGTCCCCCACGTTCGTAATATGCATTCCACAATAATGATATTTTGTATCAGATATCAGATACAGACTAGAAATAACTCTGCCAAATTTTATCAAGATCGGTTCCGATTTGGATATAGCTCCCATATACATCTTCAACCGATTTCAGGTTTATTTTGCACCAAATGGCTAATATCAGTCCAAATGACCTGACTATTGGCAATTTCGACTGAATTCATCCTAGAAACAAGTACTTCAAGTTCAGATATAGCTTTAGCTCCCATAGTTATGTTTCATCCGATTTTGAGATTTTTAAGTCCCCCACATTCGTAATATGCATTTCACAAGAATTATATTTGTTATCAGATACAGACGAGAAATAACTCTGCCAAAGTTTATCAAGATCGGTTCCGATTTGAATATAGCTCCCATATATACCTTTGTCCGATTTCAGGTTTACTTTGCATTAAATGGCTAATATCAGCCTAAATGAATTGAATTGTGGAACTTCCGACCGAATTTAGTCTAAAAGTAAGTACTTCAAATTTGGTGAAAATCGGTTCAGATATAGCTATAGCTCCCATGTATATGTTTTAACCGATTTGGTGTTAAAGTCCCTCACATGCGTAATATGCACTCCACAACAATGATATTTGATACCGGGCATCAGATGCTGCTCGAAATGACCTCTGCCAAATTTTATCGAGCTCGGTTCAGATTTTCATATACCTTCGATATACATCTTCATCCGGTTTTATGGTTATTTTCCACAATATACAGTGGTGGCCACAAATTTAAAACATGACATTTCATTTACATATATAAGACAATTTTTAAATCTTTTTAAAAAAATAGGTCCATGTTACTTTTTTTTAAGATCCTTGTAATGTAATGAAATAAATTTCACAATGGTTTGTTACCTCCATTTCGATAGAAATTTTTATTTACATTTTATACAGCTTAATACAAGTTTAGCCTGGCCACGAATTTAGGACATAGGCAAAATAAAAGAAAAATTAAAAATTAAAATAAAAACTCAACTTAGTAAAGAAACTTTAGTATTTAGTTGGGAACCCTTTATTTTGGATCACAGCTGCACATCTCCTTGGTAAACTTTCAACTAATGCCATACAACGTTCCTTTGGAATCTCATACCAAGCCTTTTGGATTTCTTCCCATAAATCATTAAAATTTTTTGGTTTTACTGCACGTACATGTCTCTCAACATCATTCCACAAGTTCTCAATTGGATTGAGGTCTGGAGATTGAGCTGGCCACTTTAGAACTTTGATATTGTTGTCACCTAAGCAACTCTTCACTAGGCGTGAAGTGTGCTTAGGGTCATTATCGTGCATAAATCTCCACATTAGAGGCATGTTTTCTTCAGCGAATGGCATCATTATGCTTGTCAATATGTTTTTGTAAATGTACTGATCCATTTTAGTGTTATGCTTGTGAATGGGTCCCACGCCATGCCAAGAAAATGCTGCCCACACCATAACATTCCCACCTCCATACTTAACCGTTTTAAGGGTATACTTTGGATGATGCTGTAGGTTTGGAGGACGCCATACGTATTGTTTTCCATCAGAACCAAATCTGCAAAACTTCGACTCGTCGCTCCAAAGTACATTTTTCCAAAACGTCATCGGTTTTTTAAGATGTTCCCTTGAAAAAGCTAGACGAGATTTAATATTCTTTTTTTGACACAAGTGGTTTACGTTGTGCTATACACCCATGTAAGTTTTTCTCATTCAGACGTCTTCGTATTGTTCTGGACGATATATTGATGCAATAATCCGATGATATTTCTTTTTTTATTTTACCAGAACTTGTGAAAGGTTCTTTAACAACTACTTTATATATTAAGCTATCCTCCCTGGGTGTAGTTTTTCGGGCTCAAGGGCGCTGTTTGACATTTTTCGTTGTACCAAGTTGCTTTATATGTTCCAGGGCGTTGTAAATTTTAGATCTTGAACATTTCAATATATTAGAAATCTCCAGAATTGTTTTCCCATCAGTTTTCATTTGGTGGATTAGTTTTCGATCGGACTCCGAACTCCAAGTACCTTTTGCCATTTCTAACTAAATATGTTGATCTATTACAACATAAAATTACTAAAAACATTCTTAATTTACCAATTACCTTCAAAAAACTCTAAACAATTAATTAAAAAACAAAAACTTCTAGATGTTTTAAATTCGTGGCCAGCTTCAAAAGCACGTTTTTACAATATATAACAAAAAAAGCAACAATATGTTAAAAATAACAACATCAAATAACGGTACTTTTTCTTAACATCACAGGGTGCACAGAAAAAATTAGAAAATGTTATTTCATATAACAGGGTTGTCAAAATTATCATAACAAAAGTCACTAGATGTCGTGTCTTAAATTCGTGGCCACTACTGTATGTAATATCAGTCCATATTGAATAGATTTGTTCGTATTTTTTGGTACATTTTTTATTGTTATTTGGTACTAGAGGTACAAAAGCCTCGCCCAAATTTATTGAAAATGGATTCAGAGTTGGATATAGTTCCCAAATTGTGACTACGCATTAAAATATGGTTCATAGTTTTTTTGTTACGGGAGACCTACTATATAGGTGTAGTTGTGTAGGGTATCATATAGTCGGCCCCGCCCGACTTTTAACCTTACCTTACTGGTTTATATATATAACAACAACAACATATACTAGGAAGTATTTACTTTAAATGACATCCCAGATTAAAAATAATGACTTTTTGATCGATTAGTAAGCAGTTAAGTGCTATAGTTACTCATTACTAGGTAAAGAGTAAAATAAGTTATATCACCTTGAGAAATCTTAAACAGACAATTCATTATTCTACCATCTCCTGGTAATGCAAAATTTAGTCTCCTTACATTACGTTTTGACGATCCCCTCTTGAGGCTCTCAAATTTTTGCTGGGCTACATGATTGGGATAATCTAAAGACCATTCTATCGAAAAATATACAATTCTGGAAAGATTAATTCATCCATTAAAAATTCCTCTTTCAGATACATAATTCGCATACAACCCTCGTAGTTAAATGAATATCGCAAAATATGATAATTTTGTAATGACTGTCGTTTGTAGGTTTCTAGTGTAAATAATAATTATTATTGGATGTTAAATTATTCAACGGCATGTGGATGTGTTGGCTTTTACACCAGGCCGGGCCGTTCGAACCCAACATCATCATCAGCATCTGCGTCGCCGTCTTCATGAGCAATAAGCAAAATCCGATCATCTACATCATGTTCATCTCTTTAAAAATTGTTAATTTTTTCGTCACAGTGCGTTAAACCGACAGATTGCTTTGCCCTCCTTCAGCACACCTCATCGAAATTTGCTTAGCAACAACAACAACAACCCACTGTACCCGCTTAACGGTAACTAACAGCTATGAGTCTACAATTACGTTGTCAGTTCCAAAGAAAACCAAGTCAAAAATTATTTTTGGTTATGTCGCTGTCACTGTTGTTGTTTTTGTTTTTTTTTTTTTTTATTTGAGTCAGTTGCTTCCAACTATTAGTGGGGGGGGCTTTTTGGGGAACTGCAATTAAATTCTTCGCATATAAATATTCGGAGGTTTGCCACAAATGAACTATACTCACTTTAGATCTTTAAGATTTAACAACTACTTCTAGGAAAGCATCTACAACCAACCCAAGCCCAACAAAAATGTTCAAATTTGTAAGTCCGAGGATTAAACGATTGCAGGATATTTGCAATTAGCCGACATGGCTCACCGCATCGGCCTCATTTTCCTTTATTTGTGTGTCTTTACAGTTCGTAGTGTCTGTTGCCATTTGCGGTCTTGCCATGGCTGCCGATTACCAGGCCGAGGTACGCAGCTACGTTAATGAAATCAAGGGGGACGGTAGCTACAATTATCAATTCGATACCACCAACGGCATCGCCCAACAGGAATCGGGTGTTGGTGGCCACTACGCCACCGGCTCGTCCCAATTCTACACCCCCGAGGGAGAATTGATTCAATTAACCTACACTGCCGATGCTAATGGCTTCCAACCTCAAGGTGCTCATTTGCCCACACCCCCACCAATCCCAGAAGCCATCCTCAAGTCTTTGGAATACATCCGCACCCATCCCTACCACGAGGAAGAGCACCAGGAACAATATCGCCATCAAGCCGCCGCTGCTGCCAAGCAACAACAACAAGGTCCCTACCGTAAATTCTAATGGAACGATGTAACAATTGGACGTGATTGCGATACTGTGATGCCATTTCTCTCCTTCAATCGCAACACAATTTGTTGTTATCAGTTTCATCTTTGCCTTTGTTACCATCATCAACCGTCGCCTCCTTCTCCTTCTTCTCACATCGCTCATTGGAATTCAATGGTGGATTCATTTATTGTTGACTATTAGTAATTCAGTTGATTCGTTCGCGCTTTTTTACGTTGGCAGAACAACAGTGAAAAATTCCGAACATATTTTTAAATTTTTTTTTTTTGTTAAATAAAATTTAAAGAAAAATGTATAAAAAATGTTTTTAATTTTCCAAAAAGAAAGAAACTTTGAAATAACTGAAATTAGGAGGTATGTGCTGTATTCCGAAACTTGGACTTACAATGAAAAATTTTTGCCTGGAACTGTTTTACAATCTGAGAAACATACGAAGACCTGGACCTCCATATGCACATCCAATTAAAAGTACAAGCTTTAATACAATTCCGGTGAATAATGTCGCTAATATGGTGGCTATGTAAAGACGAGGACCTCTATGGGCAATTTTCTGTCATAGGATGTAGTACCTATCATGAACTTTAAATTCCAAATGGTACATAGAATACCGAAAATCTGTAGGTACATGGGGACTATACCAAAACATAAACCTATATTAACAGTATTATGCAGGGATATTTCTTACGTAATGGGAACACATGCTGCCAGTCTACAGCAAATGCTGGCTAAAATTGTTACTAAAACACCCGAAACCCTTCAAATCTGTCGGTACCTTCGTATGTGGGTATACCAAAACGTGGGCCTATTTAGCCCTGCCGACTTAAAACATATCATCCTACTTCATATCGTTCGGAATCTAGAGTGATTTCCACAAATGGACGGATATAGCTAAATCGACCTAGAATTTTACACTGATCAAGAATATATACAGGGTGAGATAAAACAAAACTGCAACAAAGACAAACGACATAATTTTCACATTTTTTTTTATTTTTGTTTTTTATTTTATAAATGTTATTATAAATGTTATTAAATTTAAGAATAACTTTAGATTTGTTCGTATTGGTTACCTTTGGCCTTCAAACGGCCACTGAAACCATCACACGCTGCCAGAATGTTGCTCTGCGGTATTTCCTGGCGAAACGCTTGCTTGAGGTAATCGACATCTTGGTATTTTTTAGTGCCAACCTTGCTTTCCAAAATACGCCAGACACAATAGTCCAACAGATTGGTATCCGGAGATTTTGGTGGCCATTGTGCGCTGAAAATGAAGTGAGGAACCTCAATTTGTAACCATTCTTGGGTGACACGTGCTGAGTGCGATGGTGCTGAGTCCTGTTGGAATGTCCAAGGTCTGCGGCCAAAATGTGTGCGTGCCCAAGGCTTTAATACACCCTCCAGAATATTTTCGCGATAATATTCGGCATTTATTCAGATGCCACCGTCGATTAATACGAGCGGAGAGCGACCATTGGCTGTTATGGCGGCCCACACCATCACCATTGCCGGCGCTTGATTTCTGGTGGCCAACTGAAGGTGCACATTCTCAGCTGAACTCTTTGGCAAGTATACACGATCATTTTGTTTGTTTACAAATTGCTGGACACCGAATGGTTTCTCATCGGAGAAACCCCAATTCGACAGTTCACCACTTTCGGCTATCGCTTCGCTTGGTGAAATAGAAAATAGCTCTTTTGAGTCTATTTTTTTCTGTTGTGGTGTAAGTTCTTGCACTTTTTGGAATTTCAATGGCTTTACCCCGAGCTCATTTTTCAATATTTGTCAAATTGAATATTACGATATGTTCAGCTCACGAGCCCTTTTCCGGCCACTGCGACGCGGGTTTCGACCAAGTCGCTTCTTTACTTTTCGAACCACTTCCGCTGGTGTTGCTGTTTTCTTCCGTGTACTTCCTTGACGTCGGGCTACGCTACCAGTATCACGGTAACGAGCGATAGTACGAGACACAAAAGATTTATTCACATTTAAATGCTGGAAGTGCTCTAACGATAGCCACTTGTGGTTTTCCAGTCAAATATAAAGAAATCACACTATCACGCTTGAATTCCTTCACGAATATATTTTTTTCTGGAAAATTCTCACCAAAATGCTTTTGTACGCTTTCAAACAATATAATGAACTGTCAATGGGATAATTTCAACAGTTGTCTGACGAGTGGCTTAGAAATGACAGCAGTCTGAAGTTGGTTGCAGTTTTTTCATCTCGCCCTGCAAGTATTGGAAATTGTGACCCTTTGTGGGTGAGGTACTAGAAGGCTTTCGCAGATATATATCATCTCCAGAACACATCTTGTGTTGGCAAAAATATTTGGAAGTGCGAAATTTGAACAGAGTTGGATGCTTATTTCGCTTTCTTTGAGAGTTTTGTTTTCCAAAAGTGGTGATCCCTATATGTGGAAGAAACCAGAAGAAATGGTCAGATCTGTACCATATTTATGACAGATCTTGTGTTTATGGAAGTATTGAGATGTACCAAGTCTGAATGGAGTCGGATATTAATTTCGTGTTTTATGAGCTTCATGTATATTCAAAATGTTGACCCTTTGCGGTAGGACTGGACCAGACCTTGGCTTAATAAAAAAAATTGCGATGTGTGTAATTTGAAGAGAATTAAATGCATATTTGAAATGTTTACCCTTTGTGGGGAAGGTACTTGATGGAGTGGACCGATATGGTTGATTTTCACACTGATGCAAATATTAGGATTTGCGAAGTTGGAACAAAATCGGATTATCCTTTCTCTTTCCGTGCAGTAAATTATTTTCTTTGAAAATGTTGACATTTTGTGGGGGAGGTATCAGAAGTAGTGGACCGATATTGGCTATCTCCGAACTCGATTTAAGTTTGACAATAATAATACAATGTACCAAGTTTGGATCAAATTGGATATTCCCTTCAGGAGTTATTGTGCGCACCAGCCAGACAGACAGACAGACATTCTAGATCGACTCGAAATTTCCTGAAACGGATTTGGTCCTCAGAGACCTAGGGTCCCAAAACCCTTATTTCAATGAGGCACGTTTTGGCCGTGTCAAAATATATTTATACCCTCTCTAGCCATGTGGATGAGGGTATAATGAATCGAAATTAAACTAACTTAACCCAAAACTCCTCTACTCCCTTTACGAAGAAGTAAACCCATTAAAATATAGGTTTTCCTCAAAATTAGTATATTCCTCGATACTGGAGGTTTCAAATAAACTATCTGAAATTATGAAATTATTATTCCCTTTAAGAATCGCTTCACATCCTGAGAAGTGCGATTTTTTACATTTACTGCAGTATCATAAAATATATATAGCAACAAATTCAACCATGTCTGCTTTCCATTAAATTGAATTGTTTAAATAATTAATTTATCTCTGTTGTTGAATAGAGCCAATTGAGTGGAAAATTGTAAACATTCAAACATCCATAACAAAATTTTGTATTCAATACTTGAAGAATAAAACGTTGGCAAGCATGCCTTCATTCAATGTAATTATAATTACCATTGAATATTTTTTGTTTGTCTGCAAATGTTATCATTGGCACTAGAATTAGCATCGTAACAAAAAAATATAGGTTGTCATACTAAGGAGTGAGGCTTGAAAATGGCAAAATATTGGAAAAAAAATGGACGTGTACCCCACCCTATTTCCGTTTATTAAAAAAAATATGTACAGGGTGAGATAAAAACACTGCAACAAAGTCAAACTCCATAATTTTTACATTTTTTAGTTCTATTGAATGGAAGCAAAAAATGTCGGAAATACCATAAGATTTTAGAAGTTTCCCGGCAGAGCGCTTTTTTTGAGACGATCGAAACTTAAGTTCTTGCACTTTTTGGAATTTCAATGGCTCATTTTTCAATATTTGCTGAATGGAATGCGATATGTTCAGCTCACGAGCCATTTTTCGGACACTGCGACGCGGGTTTCGATCAAGTCGCTTCTTTACTTTTCGAACCATTTCTGCTGCTGTTGCTGTTTTCTTCCGTCCACTTCCTTGACATCGGGCTACGCTACCAGTATCACGGTAACGATACGATAGCCACTTGTGGTTTTCCAGCCAAATATAAAGAAATCATGCTATCACGCTTGAACTCCATCAGGAATAACTTTTTTCTGGAAAATGCTCACCAAAATGCTTTTGTACGCTGGTGAACAATGTAATGAGCTGACACTGAAATAATTTTAACAGCTGTCGGACGAGTGGCTTAGAAATGACAGCAGTCTGACGTTGGTTGCAGTTTTTTCATCTCACTCTGTAAATGTAATGCATTTTTACCACTTAATTTAAACAAGCTTTGCAAAAAAGGAGTTTTTGGCATTGGTTTTGAGAGCCATGCTATTTTTCGCAAACCTTGAAAAGGTAGAATGGTAAAGACAATAAATTTTGATCCATTGAGAATTGTTCTTAATGATGCACCAAGGTCAATGCCGAGCGAATGTCTTATACCACCGAGACACAAAATCAAGCCTGGGGTTGAGGATAATAGTCCTTTGAGAGTATATTAATATGTTGTCAGATCTTTTAGCGTCTTTCACTACTACCTACTCTCTGCATTGCATGACACAATGCTTATTTTAATTAATAACAGCGGCACAGAATGAGTACGTCTCACAGCAAAGCCTGAGTAATTGAAAGTCGCCAAAGAAAAAACCAGTAAAGAATGTCCTAAAGCCGGGTGGGGCCGACTTTATGATACCCTACACCACTTTGCTAATGTAGTAGAGCTCCACATAACAATTAAAAGTTTTTATGTGAGAATTCAATCATACACGATATGATTATAATTATAATTTAAAGTTGAAAGGACTAAATATGCCGAAGCATTTGTATCTTTTAAATTCGGACTTGTATTGCCCATTTGGTGCAAAATTAATTTGAAATCAGATATAGATATATATGAGAGCTATGTCCAAATCTGAACCGATCTCGAAAAAATTTTGCAAAGATATTTCTGAGCTGTATTTGATATATTTCCCTGAATATCGTTGTTACGGCGTGCATATTACGCCTGTGGGTAACAAATACAATAAATCGGATGGTGCACAATAAAAGGCAAATCGGACGAAGTTATATGTGGGAGCTATATAATAAATGCGATCCGCATTTTGTTCACAAGAATACATGGACGGACTGACATACATAAATCGACTCAGAAAATGATTCTATATAGATTCTCAAAAAAAAAAACTATGTGTCTATCACGCTTCCTTCTCCATGTTACAAGC